AATGTGGCTGGGGAGGTATATATTTTTTGTTTTTATTTACATTGTATATTACATTTTCCTGGAGTCTATGTAAGCGACAGATATAGTGCAGGAGCATTGTAACCTGCTGTGTATTAAGGTGGTCCCTTTTTTTGTCCATTTTATATATTTATCACCCTTTGGGGTGAGTTCCATTTGGATTAAACCTCACTGGCCAGTGGCCACCAGTGTCCATGACAGGATTGCCAACCTCCAGGCGGGGCCTGGAGATCTCCCGGGATTACATCTGATCTCCAGATTATAGTTATAATAGCGGGGGATCTCCAGCCACCACCTGGAAGTTGGGAACCCTCACAAGCAGTTAATCCCCCTACTCTAACAGGGAGTGGGGGGGAGCCCAAATTATTGCATTCTTTTCATAGCAGCCACAAAGCCTCCTTGTCTTTTGCAAACATTACATTGTGTGCCTTAAAAAAAAAGAAAGGCAACTTCAGATATCCAGGGTGAATACATAGCAATACACTTCAGGCCCGGTTGCTAGGAAGTCTATAGCAACAACATTGACAGAGCTGTCAGTGCCCAAGAACAGACACAAAGTCAAACAGCCCAGTGCTGTTGGGGGGGATTAGGGAATATCTAGCCCGGAGTGGCAGAGAGCTGAAAGACTCAGATCCGCCAGCTGAAAAATCAAAGCCGATAGCAAATCACCAGGCTGGCCGAGGGAAGGTTTCAAAAGCCCCGGCTGGGGTTCTGGGGTGGGTTGGAGGAACCGCACGGGGAAGAAGTGGCACTGGAGCGGATTTGCTCAGTCCAAATCCATATCGGTTGCCCCCCAGGAGTGGTTGCTTGAAAGGCTTCCCGCAAAAAGTGGCCGAAAACAGGCTTGGAGAGTTTTGCTGCATCTGAGGAACAACCTTGACAGATCCCACTTCATTTCTCTGGGCCGATTTCGTGGCTTAGTTAATCCTCCGTGGACGTGGCTGGCTCAAACGCCATAGATCCTACCTGCAGAAGAGCACGTTTTCATGGTGCATTTCCCTGCTCTAGATCATTTTCTCAGCTAGTTGAGCTTTCGATTCATTGCCCTTGCAGCTGATGATTTAGCGAGTTGTGGCCTATGTGGACACGGAAGGGTGGGGTAGGGATGCCAGCCTCCAGGTGGGACCTGGGGATCCCCCGGAATTACAGCTCATCTCCAGACTACGGAGGTCAGTTCCCCTGGAGGAAATGGATGCTTTGGGGAGTCGACTCTATGGCATTATACCCAGGTAGGGTTGCCAGATCCAGGTTGAGAAACACCCGGAGATTTGGGGGAGGTGGAGCCTGGGGAGGCCGGGGACCTCAGTGGGGTACAATGCCATAGCGTCCACCCTCCAAAGCATCCATGTTCTCCAGGGGGCTGGCATCTCTACTCCTGGCTGATAAGGATCTGCTAGACTCAGGCAGGGTCTCTGCAGCCCATTTGCCTGTGGTGATGGGCAGCAATCCCTGTTTCCTATTTCTTTGATAACACTACCTGCTCTTCTTCAGCCAATCCGCAAAATCCACAAAAAAGAACCCTGGGTGCATGCTTGCCTGCCTTATGGATGTCATTTTAATGAATGTGAGTTTTCCCCAAAACAGTCAGGAAGGGGGAAGGATTTCACCCATCGCTAACTTAACCTGCTTTGTATGGACCACCTAAGCCCTGTATGCAGGGGTCATTTTGTAGAAAAAGAGGTGCAGGAGCTCATTGGCATAGCTCATTAGCATAACTTATTTGCATATGCCACACCCCCTGATATCACCGGAAGTGTGTCAGAAGGCAACACCCACCACTCAGGCTCCACTGGACTGTTTTGGATTCCTAGCTATTGGGGGGGGGGGAGAAACGTGCAAATCTGTCCTCGCAGAGGAGGGAGAGCTTGTACCTGAATAAAACTTGGTCTTAAAAGTGCCACTGAACTGTTTTGGACCGGGGGGGGGGTACCTGGCTGCTTCTTGCTCTGACTGAGGGCTGCTGGGAGCAGGGGGCGTGGCTTGTTTCATGTGCCCGCCCCCTGCGCTCTTTACTGCCGGAGCTTCGCTCCTGTGCGCTGCTGCAGGAAATGACCCTTGCCTGTATGTCTTTTTAAATATATATATATATTTTAATTTGGTTTTATAGACACAATACGAACACAGTTTTACATAGCACATTGAGATGAGCGGACCATAAAGAGCTGCCTATCATGCTATTACATATCTCAATGAGTCAGGTGAATTATAATTATCCACAAATGAAGTGATTGAGCATTAAATTACTCATTGAGACAAGCTGACAATCAGTAATCATAAGTAATGCTAGGGCATGTGTTTTAATTGGGCAAGCCATTGTCTCAAACATTGTGTGGGTTTGTGTGTGTGTGCGCGTGTGTGTAAGTGCTTGCATTGCTGGAAATCGTGGTAACTTCTGGTGGGCCCTCATGGGGCTTGGTGGCTTACTATTGCCTTTTTCTGTGTCCCAGCCCTGGTATTCCTTGGAGGTCTCCCATCCAAGTACTTGCCAGGGTCGGCCCTGCTTCGCTTCCGAGATCGGGCTTGCCCGGGCTCTCTGGGTCAGGGCTGCCCCCTTCGAATCCTGATCACTACAGCGGAGCCAAAAGTCTGGAGCAATGAAAGAATTTTTGCTCCTGAAATTCTTTAAGAATATCGAGTGCTCCAGCCTTGAACATGTCTTGCTGTCCTCGGGAGATTTGTTTGAAAAGCGGATCTTCTAAGACATCTGGCCATACGGCATCAATGTTTGAGTGCGGCTCATCAGCGTGGCCATAAGGGAGAGGAGAAGAGTTAGAAATGCTAAGTGGGGTGCCTGCCTGCTGACGCGCTAATAGGTGGCTATCCCAGTCCGTAGCCTGAAACTGGTCAGGTTTTCGCGAGCATCCCCACTGAACACTCGAAAATGTTTGGATATCTGAAGAAGTGAGCAGTGTCTCACGAAGGCTGTCATACCCTGCCACATGTTTTGTGAGTCTTTAAGACACTGCTGGACTCTTGCTCTTTTCTACTGGATGTTTGCAGGCATTCAGTGGGCTCCTCGGAAAATGAGCACCTGTGTATGTATGGATGCTTTAACAAAGGAGGGAGAGGAACCTCCTGTATGGGGATGAGTTCTGAAGCAAAGGAGAGTCTCTCAAATGGAGGGAAGGTGGCATGGTATAGCCGGATCTCATCAGATCTCGGAAGCTAAGCAGGATCTGTACTTGGAAGGGAGACTGCCAAGGAAGGTTCTGCGAAGGAAGGCAATGGTAAACCACCGCTGCTTAGTCACTTGCCTTGAAATCCCATTGCTGGGGTCAGCATAAGTTGGTTGCAGTTTGATGGCACTCCAAACACACACACACGCACACACAGTCTCTCCAATATTCCCTGTAAATAACTCTTCCTTGACATGACTTTGTTCTGGGGGCTGATGAGACCTGTAGCTTTTGCAGCCTTCTGAATTGATTCAGAAGGCCTTAAATAACGATGATTTCAATCTATCGCAGCAATTCAGTAGATTCTGAGCATGCTTCAAGTGCTTCTGGTTGCCTATGTGATGAATACTGCCAATCCATTCAAAATGTTCTTTATTTAGAGTACTTTTCTGCCAGGCAATGGAAACAAAAAAACCCACACTCCTACATTAATAGATTGGTTGGATAAAGGAGATATATACTTTAGTTAAATTAACTGCTCATCAGAATAAGAGAGGTATGTGTAGAATAGATCTTCTGTGGTCAAGAGCAATACAAAGAATGGGGATGATAATGGTATAAGTGAAATAGTATCGGCAGTCGCTAAGGAAAGGTTCTCTATGATTAGGGAGGAATATTGAAACGGGGTTTAGGTAGTTAGATTTAGATAGGCATTGTAATTTTAGATGTATTCTATATTTTCTGTATATTCATATGCATTTTGTATTTTATGAATTATTTTATTAAGAACAAAAAAAGAAATAAAAAAGAAATAATCAGGGCAAGTGTTCAGCTGGAAAGAAAAAAGCAATTCCAAGCCTTCAGCTTGTGAAGGTTTTCCCACCCAGAGCTATAGTCTTATGCAAATCAAAGCAGATTAGTTGACTGATGAACCAATGAGAACTCTGATGAAAGGTAGATCTATATTTATTCAATCTGGAGGCAAGCATTATTATTATTATTATTATTATTATTAATTATTATTATTATTATTATTATTATTAGTCATTTCGTAGAAAAAGAGGTGCAGGAGCTCATTAGCATAACTTTTTGCATATGCCACACCCCCTGACATCACCGGAAGTGTGTCAGAAGGCAACACCCACCG